GAGGATGGCTGGTTGATGGACACCCCATGTCAACAAGGCTCCACAGAGCCAACAAGGAGGAGGTGGAGTAATGTTTTGGGCTGGAATCACGGCGAGAGAGAGATTGTCGGCCCCTTTAGGATCCTGAAGGGGTAAAGATGACCTCCATAACGTGGAGTTTCTCAAACAGCACTTCCTGCCATGGTTCAAGAAGAAGAACCGTGCATTCCGCAGCAAGATTATTTTCATGCATGATAATGCACCGTCTCATGCTGCAAAGAACACTTCTGCATCTCTGGCTGCTATRKGCATAAAAAGGGGACAAACTTATGGTGTGGCCCCCATGCTCCCCTGAACTCAACCCCATTGAGAACCTCTGGAGAATCATCAAAAGGAGTGTCTAAGATGGCGGGAGGCAGTTCACATCTAAGCAACAGCTCTGGGAGGGTATTCTGTCCTCATGCAAAACAAGTGAAGCAGATACCATCCAGAGCCTGACTAATTCAATGGACGAGAGTTCAGAAGCTCCTTTCGAAAAAGGGGTCCTATGTGCAAATGTAACATCACCTAGAATTAAGTKTTGACTTGAAAACCGTTTGATTTCAGTTTGTAATAACCTGCTAATGCTTATAATTTCACAAATGACCATTTTTTGTTCTTTATAAAAAAATGAAAAGGTTGAAAACTCTGCTGTGCATAATAATTTGGAACATGCATTTTGAGTGTTTTAATTTTTAAAAAATATACTGTTATGTAAGCAATTTGTTCAAAAACCTTTCAGTTGTACTCTAATAGTTGATGACTAAAAAATTACAATGATTGCAATTCATTTAATTTTGGAAAATCTGAGAAAATATTATTTGCACAATAATTTGGAACACAGTGTAAATGGCTGTTTTTGACTAACTTTGAATTGACCTCTATATTTTCACTTTAAAAACTATTTACCCTGCCATATTTGGTATCATTATTTTCAGCACAACCTCAGCTTTATGATTTTAGAGTGTTTGATTTTTTTGTGATATTTTAGTCCACTGTGATAATGAACTGTGTCAAAATGAAACAGAGTAGAAAAAATATTGATTTATTCCCCCTAAAATTCACAAATATATTTAATGAACATTTTCTGTTAACAATGAGATTCTGTAGTGTAAATTTTCAAAATACACTCCTGATCAAAATCTTAAGACCTGTCAAAAAAGTGCAAGAATTTGCATTTTGCACTATTGGATCTTAAGAAGGTTCTAAGTAGAGCTTCACAATGTTAAAAGAAGAAATCAGTGCAAGAGACAAGAACTTTTGAGCAGGGAATTTTCTGAAAACTGCATTTACACTCAAACATGATTTTTTCAGCTGATCAAAAGTTTGACCATAGTCTTTAAAAACCCGAAAACCCCACAAAACAGAAATCAAAGTGTCAAAAAAAGGACTCAAGTAATAAGTAGCTCCACCATTCTTGTTGATGACTTCAAACAATGGTTTAGGCATGCTT